GTGGTGGACTTGTGCGGATGCGAGAAAATACTGGACTAAAATCCACCCGTGGTTGGAAAAAATGACAAAAAAACATATAGATTTGAAACCAGAAATATTTTTGTTTGGAATTCTGCCTGATACATACAGTAAAGATTTAAAATATTTGATTGTAAATGTATTAACATCGGCTAGGATTGTATTTACTAAAGGTTGGAAAAATGAGAAAATACCATCGCAGGAGGAAACCATTAAGAAAATATTGGAATGTGCTGAAATGAGTAGATTGACATTTGAAATTAGAAAACAAGAGGATAAACAATTTTATAAAATTTGGGACCTTTTCTATCAATGGTTAGATAGTAGAATATAATGTTAAAATATGTAGAACTTTAGAAAACAATGAATATATAAAGATGTATTTCTTTTCTATAAAATGTTTCTAGGATAGACTTGGGAGGATTATATGAATTGTTATAAAAAAAACTAAGTAAATTGTGGTTATCTCACAAAGTATGAATGAACAAAATTATGGTCAAATGATTGATTAATAATGATACTAGGGTATTCAATCTTTGATTGATAATATGAGTTATTATGCAATGTAACTGTAATTGAGACTATGAAATGGATGCACAAAAAATTTGTAAACCAACCGACACACTACTTGTACACTTATGGAAGAAAGTTGGACGTTTTTATGTTTTGTTTGTTTTTGTTTGTCTTTAAAAACCAATAAAATTTACAAATAAATAAATATAAAAAACAAAAGAAATTGCATTATCACTGTGGTCTGTTGTGTTTTACAAAGAAATTCCTTGGAGAATACAACAAATCTCATATTCCCAAATGAATAGACATTGTAATGAGGAAAGGAAAAAGAAGCCTTGCCCTTTTGTAATAGGCTGTTTTCCTAGAAGAGGGCGGGATCACAACTTCCAACAGTAAGGAAAAAAAAATATCCTTTAATAAATAATAATTCTCTTTTAAACTGCCATTTTGTGTCATTAAATAAATATCCATTGCTTTCAATTGATTATATACTGCTCACAACCTTTCTGCTAACTTCTGAATCACTCAAAATTATTTCATTCTTTTTCCTCTTTTTTTGATAATCCTTCTGACATGATATACATATTAATCAATTTTCCCTGATTTTTCATCATTTTTTAATTTTATTGTTTAGTCCCCTTTTTCTCTAAACTCAATTAATTTGGCCTTGTACATTTATTTTTTATATCCATGCATATTTATAAATTATGTAATCCAACCAACATTTCTTTTAAATACTGTATAATCTCAGCCAACCACCCAATATTATCTGAATATCAAAATCTAGGATAATTCACATCCCGGAATAACAAGACAAGATCCTAATTTTACCTTAAGGATTCTGTACACATTTTCCATTATTATGCTAAAAAGTATTATTCTTCCAAGTTAGACCATCATTACAATAAATGATACAGGAATTTCAGAAATATTACAACAGCAGAATATTGAAAGCCCATCAGAGTTTCTTTCTGAAAATATTAGAATCAAATGTTATTTTGGCAGAATTTTTGTGAAACTTTACAATGATGTTTTGTACTGATTATATTGCAGGAGTTTATTTATAACAGAATAACTGAGTTGGAAGGAACTGTAAAGTTCAGCTATAACTTAAGATCATGCTATGCCAAAAATGAACTTAAGCAGAGGCTTTGAAGAACAAAATCTAACTTTTATTGATCAATAAAAGGGTAAGACCTCTCCTCTCATACACACAGATATGTGAGGAAAGTTACAAAGCACATAGACAAAAGTGACTCTTCTTATACCTTAAGATTATTTTAGAAGTAGAGTAATTGCATTGTAAAACACTCTAATTTAGATTTACATCTTTCCTGCAAAAATACAAATGTCCTCCTGGCACTTGTTTATCTTTCAGTATCTTTTCTCCTATTGTCTGTTAATCGATCACAATTGACCATTTAAGAGGGCTATTAACAGCATACTTCAAAAGGTGTATATTGCTCCAGATGTAGGGAGTTACGCTCCCAGGGAGTATGTTCCATTCAGATTGATTTAGATGGGATAATCATGTGTTTTCATATGAGAGAGATGTAACTAATTGCAGGCATGTGTTATTATTAGTTTTACAACACCAGTGAAAGGTTAAAGAAATATTTTCTACAACAGCAAGATAAGAAATGCCTATAGAGATAAATACTTCTACATATATAAGAAAACAACTGCCTAACATCAAGATAAGACATGCCTATAGAGTAACTCTCTACTTAATGCTATAATATATTTTATTTCTTTCCTTTATTTATTACCCTAACAGAACCTTGGAGATCTTATAGTGGATCAGGTAAACCAGCTCCCTTTGCAAGGATCCTGTTAAACTGGTGATGATTTGAGAGGATGAGACAGAGCACTTGATTTCTTCTCATAGTTTTAGTCAGCAAATTGTCTTGGCACTTGATGCAAACTTTTAGATATTCCAAGCAATTATGTTGTCATGGCAGAATTAAATATTTATTCACTTATACAATATAAAGGAGAACAATTTGAACAGTTATTTTTTTTAAAAAAACTTTCATCTATATAGGTGCTGAAGAACAAAATCAGTCTCACAGGGAGTCAAGAATAGTCCCCTTGGCCACACTTTCTTAGCTTAATTCTTTGTTTTGCTGCCTAAGAGTGGAAATCCAGAAAAGTGCAAGAGGAACTCTTGACAACAGACCAGCCTGGCTCTTTTCTCGCACTCTGTTTTGACTTGTGACATAGGTAGAGAAGCATCACACTTTCATAATACATACATTCATATACACATACATGCATGCATACATACATACAATCAGCTTCAATTAAAGTAAATGTAGTTTACTTTAAAGTTTCATGACATTTCAGCACTTTCCAAGCTTGTATTTAATTGTTAAAAACAATTAGAATTGTTGGGTCAATATAATATAAACATCTGTATAGAGTTGAGCTTTTATTTTTTAAAAATACAAAACTGATTATAGAAGTAAGATTTGAATATAATTATACATCATAAATGATTTCAAATTAATTTCTATTTATCAGATTTATATGCCACCCAATACACAATGATTCTGAGTGGATCACCACAACTAAAATAATTACAAATCATGTAATTACAAATAAATGTAACCAATAACAACTAAGAAATGATTAGAGTTTATCTAATTTCATCTCTTCATCTAAGATATTACCCTTGGACTTTTTGTATGAAACAGAAATACATGAAATTTTAATTTTGATGACTAGGTTTAAGTATGGATTATAGAAATATTATATGTCATAGTTCAAAAGAATATTGAATTTTATGTTTGTATTTTCACTAAAGAAAGTTACTATCCATTAGAAGAAACCAGGAATAACAGGATAAATTGTTCAGAATAGTTTATTTATTTTTATTTTTCCATAGATAGGAATCTTCTCAGACTAAATTGCAATTTACAAAACTGTAAAATGAACCCTGTGAAAGTTTAAGGAGGATCCCTCCTGGGCCTCTTTCTGTATACCAAGGTCTCAAGGTTGATTTATTTCTTAACTTCTTAATTCAGTCAGCTGGTCTGGAGCCCCAATAGAAGTACAACACAGTGGAGTTGGAAGATTGAGTAACAACAGGTCCCACCTCCCCCATTCCTCCTCTGTCCTCTCCATGTGTCCTTGATTTTAATGTTGGTTTTAATTTACTCATGTTTTAATGTAGAGGCAGTTTTTATCTTATGATAAGTTAGGCAACCAATACATTTTATAAATAAATAAACTCTTGGTGAAAGACCCCCTTCTTCCTGCAACACAAAACCAGATTCTACCACAGGTGGAAATTACTCATTTTCATAGCTCTTTTCCTTTTTAACTGCACCCAATTTTTATTTTTATTTATTTTCCCTTTCTTCCCTTGTATCAAGATTTCTTTTTCAAAAAACATTTTGTATTTTGTACTTTTTTTGAAATCCAATAAAAACTAGGATGGAAACCCTGCAAAATAAAACATGGTGGGCATGACAAACTAAATAGCAACAAAGCAAAGGGGATTTATTGTTTGTCAACACTGAAGCTGACATCAGATCTTTGTGGTACCTGAAGTCATTTTAGAAATTGATACATATTTCATTATAGTTTAAAATATCAATTTTGTCATAAAAGAATTAAACAGATTTCCAATAGAAAGCAGAAACCACACTACCAGCAGTTATCATATATAAAACTAATTCAGTGTGTTTGTGTATATGTGTGTGTGTTTGTGTGTGTGTGTGTGTGTATGTTCCCAGAGGTTCTCATTCATTATATTAATGTGGTAATTTGATCCTAAGAATGCTTTGATCTTTGAATATATTTAGACTTTATCAAAAACTGATACTTTAACAAAATATATACTTAAATATTTTTACACAATTATGTGAGAGACAGATTTAAATATGAAACATATTAATTAGATCTCTATTTATGGATTACTAAAATGAAGAAGTTTAGCATTCCTTAAGAAGGGCATATATAGTTCTACAATGTATCACAGAAGAAATGTATCATCCCTTTCTCTTTATCTTTCCATCTCTCATCTTCCTCCCCTCTGTCTGTCTGTCTGTCTGTCCGTCCGTCCGTCCATCCATCCATCCATCCATCCATCCATCCATCCATCCATCCATCCAACTAACTAACTATCTAACTATCTAACTATCTGAACAGGAAATGTAATATATTGATCCAGATACTAGTTCATTCTCAAAATCTGAAAGTTCATTCAATGACTTCTCATCAATCCTTCCCTCTTAGCGAAACCTACCCAAAAGCATTGTTATTCTGTAGAAAACAGGAGGTAGGAAGATTATGTATGCCACCTGACACCTGGCAGAAAGATGGGGGTTATGCTTGGTAACTAAATATCTGAATAAAAGAAGCCACGTTCAAATTAAAATCAAATTATTTCAATGAAAGACATTAGTAATAAATGCAAAGAAATAAAACTGCAAATGCTTGATTGCATTACAATTGTACCATGTTTATCGTTTTATATAAACATGCTGCAAAATGATTATTTTTAAAAGTATTTTTATAAGAGCCTTTTGTAGGTCCTTGTTCCTGAAGCTATAAATAATAGGATTCAAAACTGGTGGCAAAATTGTGTACAAAACAGCAGAAAGCAAATCTACAGATTGAGTAGAGAGTGATTTGGGCCTCATATAGGAAAATACTCCAGTGATGATAAATAAAGAAAAAACAGTAAGATGGGGAATGTAGGTAGAAAAAACTTTATGCCTGCTTTGCACTGATCTAATTTTTATCACTGCAGAAAAAATATGGGTATAGGAAGCAAAGATAAAGGGAAAAAAAGAATCCAAAAAGAACCCACCAACAAGGATCAATGTTTCATTGAATTTTGTATCTCTGCAAGAAATCTTTTGTAATTGAGGAATATCACAGAAATATTGGCCCATCACATTGGACTCACAGAAGTCTAATTGAAAAGTCAAACAAGTTTCTAACACTGCATGCATCAGGTTGAATAAAAAGGAGATTGCTACCATTTGAATCAGGGGTGGGATTCAAAATTTTTAACAACTTGTTCTGTGGGTGTGGCTTGGTGATCATGTGACTGGGTGGACATGGCTTGATGGTAATGTGACTGGCTGGGCATAGCCAATTCAACATCACTCAAATCGAGGCACGCATCTCCTACCCTGATTTCTCATGACTGTGTGGATGCTGCAACAGTCATAAGTGAGAAAAATGGTCATAAGTCACTTCTTTCAGTGCCATTATAACTTTGAATGGTCACTCCACACAAGCAAAGTACCAGCAAAGGAGGGGGAAAAAACTCCAGAGACGTTCCTGAGACAGGAAGTCTAGTCCTGCCAAGAATTTAATAAGGGTTAATGGAGAGGCAGTTTCTGTAAGCAACACCAGAATGTTTCCTTCCTGCCTTCCTTACAGGATTAGGCCAGTAATTTCTTCTAACAACCAGTTCTCCGAACTGGTTAGAATGTTAATAACCGGTTCTAGTGAATAGGTACGAACTGGTAGAATCCCACCCCTGATTTGAATGCAGGCATTCCAATTCATGATCAATCTATATTGCAGAGGATGACAAATGGCTACATAGCAATCATAAGCCATGATAGTTAACAGAAAAGCTTCACAGCCAACAAATGTAACTATTAAAAAGGTCTGGATGATACAACCAGCCAAAGAAATTCCCTTGTTATTTGTCAATGAAACAGCGATGGATTTTGGAACTGTTGTAAAGATGGAACACATATTTAAAATAGAAAGGTTGACCAAAAAGTAGTACATGGAATTGTGAAGGTTGTGGTCAACTGCCACTGCTGTTATAATGAGACTATTCCCTGTTAAAGCTGTTACATAAACAATAAAGAACATCGCAGAATGCAATATTTGCAAATCTGAATCATCAGAAAATCCCATCAAAACAAACTCTCTCACAGAAGATTGGTTGGCCATTTCATCTATTTGAATCCTGTGGAAAGTAGTTAAATGAGTTAGTGCAGAATATAATTTTAATAACATTTTCCATACTATTTTATAAATTTTTCATCTAACAATATTGTAAGTTTGGAATAGCAATAGTGTGTGTTTCTCAGCTAGCAAATTCTAACTTTCCAGAATTCATTGATTTATTGAAATAGGTCATATCCTTTATTTTAAAAAAATCTTCCTATCAACTTTACTGTTTTTAAGTAGGAAAAAATGAAATATTGAAATATGTAATATGAATCAATTTAAATCTAGGCTTGTATACTCTTATTAATATTTAAAGAAATGAGTACAATTGATGTACCTATGATGTGACAATGATTCTATCAATCACAATACAACCTGCTGAAAACATTAAGAGTTATTTTAAAGATTCAAATGGCTACTCTGCTTTCTAAAGGAGGCCAGCAAGAAAATCCTTATTCCACCACCTTTCTGATCATCTCCTTCATATTTTAAATTGACAGAATTTTCTGTGTTACAATATTTATGCTGGGTTCCCCAAAAGAGGTCAATATAGTGTGCTAAGTGACAGTGGATACTATTACTTAAAGTAGTATTTACTAAATTATTTTCAGATATGGGGATTGATGAACAATTTGAAACACAGAAAGAGTCAATGAGCTAAAGAATTTTGGTGACCTATGATGTAAGCAGGGGTGGGATTCTACTGGTTCTGTCCGGCTCTGTAGAACAGGTAGCTCTGAAGAGCAGCAGACATAGAACCAGTTCTATGTCTGCTGATGTTTTGGCCCGCCTGGGCTCTTACCTGACCTTAATTTCCTGCTTTTTTAACCTCAGCTGCTGTGCAAGACACAGCTGCAGTTGAAAAAGCAGGAAAAAAGTGCTGTTTCAAATGCTGTTTCTCTGCACTCAGCGCTGCTCAGCTGTCCAGGCAGCAAGCTGATGACAATTTACAGGTGTGCATGCAGTGTGCAGGGAAGCACATCGTAAATCACCAAACCTCGTAAATCATCAAACTGGTAGTGAACCATGTCAGATCCCACCCCTGGATATAAGGCAGTATGAATGACAGTTACAGTATTGAGACATTCAGAGTTAATGAGTGACAAGATAGGCAGCTGATAATTTTTAAAAACAAACAAACAAACAAACAAACAAGAAACCTGATTGTAGTATGATTCCAGCATTGGAAGGCAGAAACTGCTTGACATCCTTATACTTTTTAGGATCCTGAACTAATGAATACAGTTAAATTATGGTCCAAATAAATTAAGATTAAGATATCCTTCAAAAAGACCTCGAGTAGGTGTCAGAATGGTCAAACATGTGGAAACTTCAAATCACAACAAACAAATGCTCTGTCTTACATGTTGGCAAAAAAAAATCAGAAAATAAAATACAAGCTGAATAGTCAAGACCTTGTTGATGATCCAAACACTGTCAAGGACCTTGGAGTACTCATCTCTAATGATCTAAGTGCCAGAGCCCACTGTAATTACATAGTCAAAAAGGCGTTAAGAGTTGTTAACCTAATCTCATGTAGCCTTTTCTCTGGTAATATTACACTAATAACTAGAGCATACAAACATTTGCTAGACCAATACTCAAATACAGCTCATCAGTCTGGAACCCACATTACGTATCTGATATTAACACAGCTGAGAAAGTCCAGAAATATTTCACAAGAAGAGTTCTCCACTCCTCTACTCGTTGCAGAATACCTTATGCCACCAGACTTGAAATTCTAGACCTAGAAAATCTTGAATTACACCGTCTTCGGTGTGCTCTAAGTATGGTATATAAAATCATACATTGCAATGTCCTACCTGCAAATGAATACTTCAGCTTCAATCATAACAATACAAGAGCACACAATAGATACAAACTCAAGGTAAACCACACCAAACTTGATTGCAGAAAAACGACTTCAGCAACAGAGTGGTCAATGTTTGGAATACTCTACTTGACCCTGTGGTTTCTTCCCCAAACCCCAAAAACTTTAATTTTAGACTGTCTACTATTGACCTCACCTCTTTTCCTAAGAGGCCTGTAGGGGATGTGCATAAATGTACCAATCGTGCCTACCATCCCTGTCCTATTGTTTCTTTTTATTTTTTTTATAAGTATCTATCTCATGTATTCAAAACTTTGTTTTTCTTATACCTGTATCTTGTAAGCGATTGACAAATCAAATCAAATCCAAAAATAAATAAATAAATAAATAAAGGTACATATAGTTTAATGACTCTTTCAAGTTCAAACAAAAAAATTCTCTATAAAGGTCTTCTGTAGTATTACAGCTAGATAACAGAATGTGCCAATCAAGGGATGATAGCATCTATGAGATCATAGTTGGCTTTTTTGAAGTTGTATTTTGGGGATCCATCATTATGATCCTCTTTGTGAGGGCATAAATTGAGACAAAAGTCAATCATACTGTGGTCACTGTTTGAAAAGGCTCTTGTATTTGTAGGCCATATATTGAGTTCGAGCTGTTGCAGAAGATAAGATCAAGACAGTTATTGAGTCATGTTATTAGTTACAATTGATCCAGTCCCAGTGTAGTAATGGCATTGTACAGGGTTGCATGTATGGGTTCGGATGTACTAAGAGGTAGATTGAGGTCACCAAGGAACATAAGAGGGTGTGGGCAAGAGGTAGCCCTTGTTAGCAGTGAAGTTAGCTTGTTTGTAGGAACTATGTCATAATCAGGGCTCTGTAACATAGTAAGAAGCAGATTGTGGTATTTGAGGACAGTTCACAGATGATGGTTTCTGGAAGAGCAAGTTCTTGTAATTTGAATCTTTTTTAGATTTAGGGATTTTTTTTGTAGAAGATAGCAACTCCACCTCCTCTACAGATTTCGCGATCTGACCAATAGATGTGATATTCGCTGACTGTGGTAATGGAGTCTGGAAAAGAGGCATTTAACCACGTCTCACAGACAAATATAATGTTGAATGTGGTTATGCCTAATAAGATGAGGAATTCATGCATTTTGTTTGTGGGGCTTCTTGTGTTGAGTAGTTTGCATTTTAGATATGTAGTAGTGAGTTGCACAACTAATACTAAACATATTAAACCATAAAAAATGAGTTGTATTGAGACACCAGCCGGTGGTTTATTGTCACATTTACATTGATTTTCATTCTTTCTGCTATCTAATCTAAACAACATTTGGTACTGTAAAAGCCATCTTATTCAACTCTGTGCTCAGTGCAGAGTTTACTACAGCATCAAGAGAATCTGCCCACTGCCATTGTTGTTGATTTAAAGGAATTGTAATTAAGAAGACAAAATTAGAGTAACTAGATCGCAGTTAGGCAGTAGACATTTACAAACTAAAAATGGTGATGAGGCAGGAATTCCTGCCAGTAGGAAATTAGTCATGCCCAACCTGCAAATCTCCACAGGAACTTATATAACAATTATATCAGCACTGCCTAGAAGACTTGAATTTTTTTATTTTTTTCCCCATTGTCAATAGACCATTCATTGTACAAGAACAAAGTATGGGGTTTATTGAGATTTGTGTTTAAGGTTTTACTTAAACTTTTGAAATTGACAATGTGACCAGATTTGTTTTTCCACCAGAGTGATCTCTTTTTGGATTAAAGTTTCCTTATTGTTATGGGTAATCCGTTTTTTTTTTTTTTGGTTTTTGGGGGGGAGTTGTTATTGGTACATATAGTTTGATGACTCTTTTGACTTCAAGTAAAAATATGTTGTAATGGTCTTCAACAGTATTGCATCCAGTGAATAGAGATTGCCAATCAAGGTATGAGAGATCGTTGTCTATAAGTTCATAGTTGCCTTTTTTGAAGTTATAATTGGGGATTATCTCATTGTGATGATTTTTGTGTGGGCGTATGTTGAGACAAAAGTCAATCATGTTGTGGTCACTGCTGGAAAAGGGTTCTTTAGTTTGTATTCCATAAATTAAATTCAAACTATTGCAGAAGATGAGATCGAGGCAGTTGTTTAGTCTAGTGTTGTTGGTTACTAGTTGTTCCAGTCCCAGATTTGTAACAGCATTGTAGAAGGTTGCGTGTATGGGTTCAGTTGTCCATTCATTTAGGGTCCAGTCAATATGAGGTAGATTGAAATCACCAAGAAAGATAAAAACGTGTGGGCAGGATGTTGCCCATATCTACTCTGTTTCTGGGGGAATATGACAAATTTAAGATTATTTTGCTGTAAGACAGACCCAGTGTTAGAAAGGAGCTGATGACTAGATTTATTTATTTGTTATTTTTCTATCATACTTGTTTGGCTCTGAATGGTTTACAAAAATGAATCAGTTTCTATGATCCTCATGGGATAAAAGAGAAAGATGAAAAATTGCCCTTATTTATAAGTAAGATTGAACATCAAACTCTTTCTTATATGCATAAATCATACATGCACGTTGAAATTTTATGACATACCACTTCACCCATCTGAAGACTATAAACAAACAGAGAGTTTTGGTATACATGCTATACATAGGAGGCTATTCTTGACTCCCCAGTCTGCATTTGTCATTCAGCAATAATGGATGGCAATCTAAACAGATAAAAAACATTGAACAATGCTGTTCAAAAGTTTTTCCTTGACACAAGGGAAGAATATTGCCACTCTTCCATGACAACAGAATTGCTGCACATGGACAAATATTAAACATTTACATTGTGAGCTAGAAAATTCAGTGGTCAAACATAAGAATAGATGCCAAGAAGTCTATTTCATCCTCTCACACCACTGCCAATGCAAGGGCAGCTAGTTTACCTCAACCATTTAATTATGTGTGCTTTTTTAAAACTTGGGACAAAAAGAAACTCTGATGAGCTTTCAAGATTCTGCTATTGTGCCTCAGAAAGTAGAAATGAAATTATTGTGCATCTCTTGTCTTGATGTTCTAACTTGCAGGGATAATATATTGATATAACATAATAATAAATAATATAACAATAAATAATAATATAATAATATGTATGTATGTATGTGTATACATATACATATGTATAAAATAGAAAATTAGTGTCTGACACAAATACTTGACATTACTATTTTATGGTTTGGGGAAATGA